TGTGTGCATAATGAGTCCCAGTGCATGCGCCGGCTGGTTCTTGCTCAGGTCCCCTTCCCTCTCTCTTTACATTCTCATGCACTGATGTTGGGTCCTTCATAGCATGTGGGGTACCAAGGCAAGGAGGGAGTCTCAGCACAGTGACTCCTGAGCCTTCCTGTTGCAGAAGCTTAGGGAGTAGCCGTGAAAAGCCTGGAACAGGATGAATCCTTTTTTCCCCCTGCCCTGCCTCTGTTGCAACAAAAAAGGACCATCCTCAATGTCACACATATTTTGCACCCTGGACTCACAGACTCTGAAATCTACTGTGAGTTACGGGAAATATGTTTGGATTGTTTCCGATCTCCTAGTCTCCTACTTGAGTGTTAAGCAAATCCGGGTGACCATGGAAAAAAGAGAGAGAGGACGATGATGATGAAGAAGCCTCTCACATGCACAGAAAATACTGAGAACAATCTTCTCCATGCACATACAAAGGCCCATTGTGGAGCAGAATTGTCTGCATTTCTCTTCCCCCCTCCCCAGAATTGCCCCTTTTGCACAAAACGGCACAAAGTCACAAATTGCACATAATTGACCGAAATTAGAATGATTGCTTGGCTCCCTAAGAGAAGCCCCAGGCTGGGGTTTGCAAGGCTGTGCAGGGCTGTCAGGGGAAACAGGACCTTGGGGAGACGGCTCATTCGTGAATCGTCACCATGAATCAAGCGCAACTTGATGGCATTTAAGAAGAAAGAGGGCTTGCAGAACGAGATGGTTTGGTGGTGGTTTTCTTAACGATCCTCCCTCCCTTCTGTCCATGCTGTGGACGTGCATGGGTGTGCTTTGTTTTTGGAAATGAAAGGACGCCAGAGATATTTGGCACAAATAACAGAAATCGGCTCTTCGTCGCTCTGACAGCTGGACATAAGGAACCTTGCCTGGTTCTTTCTCAAGGTTGGTGGACACCCAGAGTCGAGGCGAAATGGGGAATCCAACAGGTATCATTGAGGATAGGGCTCTTAACCGCAGAGCCTTCTGACGGTAGCCCAGCAGGACATGGAAGAAGCACCCCATTGTTATGATTTTGCTGCGTTTCCCTAAACCTTGCTCACATTTCCTCCCTACCCTTCCTTTCCGACGGTAAGATTTCTGGGTCAGATCACGCATTACGGTAAAAGGGTTATTTCTTCCTCTGACGTCATTTATCCTTTCACGTTTGGGAAGTCTTTTGGCGCTGCAACAGGCCACGTGCAGACAAATCCCGGCCTTCTTCTGTCTGATCCATGGGGGGGGGTTGTGGGGGGAAGTAAGCTAATTTCCCAAAGGCTGATGGAGACACACCCTCGGCAGAGTAAACAGCTCTTTTTCCTCTTAAGGGCTAATTTCCCAAAGTCCGATGGAGACACACCCTCGACAGAGTAAACAGCTCTTTTTCCTCTTAAGGTTGCACTTCTTCTAGATACAAAATCAGTGTTTTGTCTCCTGACGTCCTTTAATTTTTTTTCCCCACCTGGCTGGAAATCTGTATACCCTTTAAAGAGATTTTTTTCTAAAAATCTGCATCTTTAGTCGCATGCTTTGTTCTTAAAGTATACATGTTTCCCCAATGGACGAAAGTTTGTTTGTGTGTGTTTATTTTTCCACACACACAACAGTGACTCTATTTCCTTTTATTATTATTTAAATGTTTTATACATAAAACACATCAGCAAAAACATAAATAGAAAAACCTAATGAAGCAAGCCAACGAAAAGCCATTATACAAAAACACGCTCCTTCCCATTGGGACCGTTTGGAAATATAACTGGGTTTTTATTCCCTTGATGGAGCTCCACTCCCCTTCCAAAATTTCACTCACTCTTGCAAAAGTATAAAACCCTTCCCCTTGATTAATGGGAAAAAAATTGATAAATATCCTTATTTATCAGCCCCTTCTTGACTTGAACATTACACATTAACTTATTAATAACTATATTCCAGACCTCTTTATACTATTTGTTTAATAGAAAATCATACTTTGTTTTCCAATTCCTAGCTACAATGAATCTTGCCCCTGTAATTAAAATTGAAATTAATTCTTACATTGCCCAGTTCCATTGCCCCGATCAAATGTGGATAAAAGCACTATTTTAGGATACACCTCTGCACTTAATGCCATCATTTCATTTATTCCCTTGAAAACCAACTGCCAAAATTTCCATATATTCTCACATTCCCACTGCACATGAAAATGAGTACCTGTTTTCTGATATCCTCTCCAGCACAACTTAGAATAATTAGTAACCCTTGGAATTAATTTCGCTAGAGTGAGATTAAACGAACTAAATTTTACAGACGCTTAAAGTATACATGTGAGATTAAACGAACTAAATTTTACAGACATGGATTTCACTATTCTTGTATCCTGCATTTTATTCCAAACTTTGGTACTTATTTCTTTGCCCAAATCATGTTCCCATCATGTTTCCAGGCTATTTCTGCTGGGACTTGAATTCCACGAAATGTTTCTCCGTTCTTATGTCCACTCCATTGGGATGGCATCATCTGAAGCAAAGCAGACGTGGAAAAGAGGCTGCTTGGTGCATATATAGAATATTGGGATCCTCTCCGAAGCTTGGGAATGCCATCTTTTGGACTACAAATCCCAGAACCCTCCACTCAAGGCTGGAAGAGTCTGTGATTTGTCATCCAAAAATAGCAATGTTTACAAGCTCCGACTTTTTAAAAATCCTTCTGGCTGTCTGTTTCATCGGATGATAGGGTTCTAGTGAGCTGTTTGCATTTGGAGGCTGTGTGTATTTATTTCCCTTTTTTCGCAATTTTGTGGAAGCAGGCAGAATTTTTCAAAGAGCAAAGGACTGGCTGGAATTTTATACTGGGCAAAGAAGTGGGAGCAAATTAAAAAACTGCCTCGTCCTGCAAACCACCTGGGCTGTGGTGGTTGTGGGTTTCTCGGGCTGTTTGGCCGTGTTCTGAAGGTTGTTCTTCCTAACGGTTTGCCAGTCTCTGTGGCCGGCATCTTCAGAGGACAGCACTCTGTGCTCTGGTGTAGTTGGCTTGGGAGTGGAGTATTTATGGCTGTGAGATGGGCTTTTGTCCTTTTCAAGAGATGGGTGGAGCATAATCAGCCTTGGATGGAGTTGTTGAAACCTCTGAGGAATCCCAAGGCACTGAGTTGCTTTTGAAAACCTTGAGTTCATCTCCTGGCGGTGGAAGACCTGTTTTTTTTCCAGCCCATGTTCTTCGTTTGCACAAATGGAAATGAAAACATAGCGCCCTATTGTCTCGGGTGGTTTGGGAGGTGAATATAATCAAAAAGCATTTAGGAACGTTTGAAATAGGGCGGGAAGAGCAGGAGGTTTCATGGCAGGTTGGGGGCCATTGAGGGCTGCCTCCATCCATCTACTCCTCTCTCACACGCTTAAAGGTCTTCTGAGATGTATGCTGTGTTTCTCGAAAGGTTCCTGAGCTTCCCAGGGACAGCATTTACTGTCTGGGAAAAAGTGGAGCTGTGTTTATTCACTGGTGGATTACATGAGGCCCAGAGAGATTCGGGTCAGTTGTTGACCAAGTTTTGAAGGTGGTGGGGCAAAATCCGGAGCTGGAGTCCCGAAGGCAGCATGTGTCGTTCTGCCAACTCCTGCGATGTCGCTGGAACCAGTTGTATTGGCTCTTGCCTTTCCATTGGGCCATTTCAGCAATGAGGAGAGGGGGGATTTGCTGCTTGGGTAACAGCCTATCCTCCATATTATTTTACCCAGGCTTCATGCTCTGGAGAGGACACTCCTCGATTCAGAGCATGTTACCATAGTCTCTCGAGACTGAAGGATGCCTATGATGATGGGAGAGCCTTTAGTTTCTCCTGCCCTGATGGACAGCATCTGCTTTTTGAGTCGTGTAATAATCGATTGTCACCAGGAATGTTGGCAAGTCTTTGGGTTCAAGTTGAGTCCGAGTCATGGGAAAACAACAACAACAACAACAACATGGCAAGTGTATGTCCAGTTAATGGTGTGATTTATGTCCACCTTGAAAGCCAGTGGGTCCCAGCATTGGGAGAAACAAAACAAATAAATGCAGACACCCACATGCAGACCTAAACAAGCAAACATGGAGGGTGTGTCACATCTGACACCAAGGGTGTGCGTGGAAAGTCTGCTGGAGGTGGTGAGTGTCAGACAGAGCAAAACCCCCGAAGATCTGTGGAAAGTCTGCTGGAGGTGGTGTCAGACAGAGCAAAACCCCCGAAGATCTGAACCGCCATGTTTTAAATGCCGACTGGCTATCAACCGACGGCTTACAGGCTTTGAAGGCACGTCCCGGCTGCCCGATTGACTTTGATAAAATCCTAGTGGGAAAAAGTGAAGTTGCATGCGGTTTTGGGGTAGGGGAGATCTTCCCTGTGGTGCTTAGCAAAGCCACACTGCACCACGAATTCCCCACCCCATGGCTTTTCCAGATCGCCACCCCACCGCAATTTTGCCCTTTCCCTCCCTTCTAGACCTTCCCCTCCCCTTCTCTGTACAGCATCCCACTGACCCATAAGGATTTGTCCGCCAACGGCAAACCCATCCGGGCCTCCTTGCCAATCCTTGAGGGGGTGGCAGCTCCACCCTGCAAACTCTGTGTGCCCCAGGATGCACAGACAATGGTGTGTGTGTGTGTGTGTGTGTGTGTGTAATGGTGGTGGTGGGGCTCTTGTGGGTTGTGTCATGGGGACGGACTGTTGTAGCTTCTTCCAGTTCTTGTACCAGAGGCAGGAGCACATGGACCGGAAGAGGAGGATCTTTGCCCTGGTGGCGCCACACCCCGGAGTTTGCAGACCAGGGCGGCGTCCCATCCAGAGCTACAACCTGTCCCCCTTTTCTCACCGTCTGGCCCCCGGAGGAGGAAATGGTGCCCCCCTATGCCTCCTTTCAAGCTGGGACGAGGAGGGGGAAGACGCTTCCTCCCTACGCGGACGCTGCCCTCCCGATCTACTGACCGCGTTGCTTCTGCTTTGTGTCTTTGTCCCCTAGGGTACGGACACGCGGCCCCTAGTACCGACGGCGGGAAAGTCTTCTGCATGTTCTATGCCCTGCTGGGGATCCCGCTCACCCTGGTCATGTTCCAGAGTCTGGGCGAACGGATCAACACCTTGGTGCGGTACCTCCTCCACCGCATCAAGAAGTGCCTTGGCATGAGACGGCCGGAGGTGTCGATGGCCAACATGGTCACCATCGGCTTCTTCTCCTGCATCAGCACCCTCTGCATCGGGGCCGCGGCGTTCTCCTACTACGAGAACTGGACCTTCTTCCAGGCCTACTACTATTGCTTCATCACCCTCACCACCATCGGCTTCGGGGACTACGTGGCCCTCCAGAAGGAGCAGGCGCTCCAGACCAAGCCCCAGTACGTGGCCTTCAGTTTCATCTACATCCTCACCGGGCTGACCGTCATCGGGGCCTTCCTCAACCTGGTGGTGCTGCGGTTCATGACCATGAACGCCGAGGACGAGAAGCGGGACGCCGAGCACCGAGCGCTGCTCAGCCGCAACGGGCAGGCCAGCAGCGTCCACACCACGGACACCAC